AGTAAATACAAAATAGTATAAACCAATAACATGAAAACACTTGCAGCAATTATAGCCAAACCAATAAAATGTAAACACTGGTTTCGGGTTTTGATAAACTGTCTGTCACAATATCAACAGCTTGATCTCTCTATCTTTCTATTTTGCAAGAGCAGGTTAAGTCTGTGTTTTCATCCAGTAATCTTTTTCCTGTTTCTTAAGGACAACAAGCTGTTCCCGTCTCTGCACAAGATTTTCCAACAACTTTTCAATCTCTGTTTGTCTTTTAATTCATTTATAGTTCTTCAATTCTTTTTGTAACAAAATTATGTCCCCAGTACACTTTTCCTTCTAAGTTTTAGAATCCTCTGATTTCTTTCTAATCGTGCCATCAATTGGGTGAATCTAGCCATCATTGCTTTATTTCTAAGAACCTAAGAAAACCTGTCAACAAAATATAATTGTAATTAGAAGACAAGTAAATAATTAGAAACCTAAATAAAAAATGACGTAACAGACTCCTCCATAACACTTTGAACTATTAATTCATTATGCTTTCACATCAACTTTCAGAAACTAAAAAGTCTAAGAAACCCAGTGAACAGAGATATTATACGATGCGTACAAACAAGAATAATTGAAAGCCTGTAAATAACATAGTATAACAGACTCTATCCCCATAAACACTTTGATACTATCATACAGTATTAAATGTATATAATAAACATATAAAACCAAGAATTGTACTAAAATGGACACACTATATGACTAATTATAGCAATAACGGAATTAATTCAAACAAAAATAACCTAACAAACTGCACCCATAAACACTTTGAACTGTTATATATAAATGCTTTCAACTTCAACCTTTCAGTTCCATGAGTAACCATTCAAAATAATAATTTAATTGTATTGATTAAATCATGACATAACAAACTATTAAATACATAATTTGTGCTCACAATTTAACGTCATAATTTTTCTATTTTTAATTCAAACATGAGAGGAATACAAAGAATCTGCCATCACTGAGGGTCAACTTGGAAAATGAGGCAATTTTAGATTGACTTTCCAAAGTGAATTAGTTGGTGGACAGGAAGCAAGGAGGAAGGGGTATAAGATATACTAATATTAGTAATATTAACTGAATGTGAAGGGGTACAGATATATTAATATTAAAATTAATTAATAATAAAATTAATAGCATGATTTGTTTTGTTGATGAATTTGATGATTCATTGTTTTATCTATATAATTCTGAAGCACTTGATATGATTGCCATAGGATCTCAGAAGCTCTATAATTGTACAAGTGTCTGCATGTTATTGGTTTAAGCTATTTGGTTTTATTAATAACAAAATCTATATAACAAAATACATTCAATGTTTGTTGGATGTGTTTAATTAGATAAATAACTTCACATTCACAAAATGTTATGATTATATGTTTTAATTAAAATTTAGTTTTATGATATACGTTTGTTCGATGAATTTAGTTTAATTCATTGTTTTGTTTAATTGAATGTGAAGGCTAGGGGTAAAGATATATATATTAGTAATAATTAACTGAATGTGAAGGGGTACAGATATATTAATATAAAATTAATTAATAAAATATTCATATGCATGATTATATGTTTGTTTGATGAATTTAGTTGATTCATTATTTTTGTTAATGAATGTAAAGGGGTAAAGATATATTAATATTAATACTAATTAATTGAATGTGAAAGGGTACAGAAATATAATATTAATTATATTCATGAAGAATGTGAATATTAATGGATTGATAAGGTATTATTTGAATTTGATGAATGCGAAAAGATACGTTGTATCAGTTAAATGACTCATTACTTTGAATACTATATATATATATATATATTAACAGTTTGTTACATGATTATCTGAATTGTACCAAGTATTTTAATTTAATTTCAATGCTAATGTTAATATTTATGAATGTGAAGTGACATATTTATTACCATCATGAATTCGAAGAGGTAGTTTGTATAAAAGAGAATTCATATAATTGAAACTATGCATATGTCTATTATTTGTTGGCGGTTTATCACAACAAATAGAGGTGTTTATGCTGAATTTATATAGTATATAATTTCTCCTGGATCATAATATTTGTTCACGTTGCTTAAAAATACATGGTGTCAAAGTTATTGTATTAGTTTATCTATTACAATAACTGTAATTGTAAGTTTTCTTAATGTCTAAATGCAGTTGAAATTTTTTTTTTTCTTAGTGCTTTTATGACACCAGACTAAATTTAGTAACCCATTATTTTTTGAGTATAAACTCAAACTTCTTGCAAAAAGAGTTTTTCAAATAGAAATTTTTAAGTTTTTAGTGAGCTTTGCGTAGATCTTAAGTTTGGATTAAAACAATGCGGATGTTTGACAAATTCTTGGATATTCTATTCATATTTGGCTAATTTGACTAACCTTTGACTGAGGACGAACTAAGCTCCAGCATCAAGCTCTTTGGAGAATCAATGATGCCTGTTTCATTATCAGTTTTTGATATATTCATGGAGCTTGGAACTACAGTTCCCATCTTTCTTCTGTGCTTGACTAAAAGTTGTTCCACCTACAACAACAACCTATACACCACCGTTGAGCAATCGGAAGGGTCATTCCAAGTGTAGCCAGCCATTGCCCCACTCACAGGTGCTTACTTTAAACCAATGTTTGTTTATGAAATTTCATATTATTACTGATTTATTTCTGAACGTAAATTGATTAAGTTTTGATTCCTTTATTGCAGCCAACCTTTGGCAATGATGGTCAAGGAGCATTGATGGGGTGACATTCGGATAATTTAACAAACACTTTTTTTTTATGAGACGCAGTATGAACCATTTAAAATATATATATATATATTATTTATTATATTATAATAATATATATATATATTATCCATTTATTTGTTTTTCTGTGTTATAAACACATGTATATTGCAAAGTGTTTATCAATGAAGCATATTTATTATCAAAAATTTGCAAACTTGCATTCTTAGATAGGTTATACATGGTTGTTGACTCTATAGCTAGTAATAGTTTGTGTTTTGTGGCCAATAGAGTTTGTGTTGGATGAGGAAGGATGAAGGATGACAAGTTTTATTTTATTTATTTTGCTCATTTCATGGTGTGGGCAGCCTTTAAAATGATGAAAGATTAACTGTTGGACCTCAAAGCAATGTTTATTATTGCGTACATTGCAGGAACTACTAATTTTAAGAAGGGCAAAATTGTCATTTCAATCATATTATTATGTACCAAATTGTTGTAAGAAAAGTGTTGCAACTCTTCTTTTGCTTTGAAAAAGGAATATATTCCTATCACTAAAATGTTCCAGTATTATTTCGTTCTTCAATTAATTAATTTATTTGTGTTAAAATCACTTTCATAAGTTGTGGGACTTTCAACTTCTATGTATTGAATTCAATTAATTCAATTCCTGCTGAATTACAAACTGACATTTCCAATCTTCCATCACTTGCATTTTATCAAATTAAAAGAGGAATGTGAAAGATCTGTACTACATACATTAATTGAATGCATGTGAATCGTCCCTATTTTATCAACACTAATAAACAGTAAACACAAGGACCAATTAACGACATCTTAAATGGCAATCATATAACAATTCTCGACAATCTTTAAACATAAAAATCCAATTAAAAAAAAAAAAAGAACAATAACAAAATGTTCTATTATAATCAATATTTGACATATTTTTTGTGAAACAATAATCGTTTACAATTTCTTAAAATATAAAAATTCGATAATAAAATAAAAAAATATAATAAATAAACCCGCGCAAGTTCTAGACTTATTTGCATCATCGAAAGTAACAAAACCTTGAAAATGACTAAACTTTGACTTATCACCTATCATACGTTTTGAGCAACCACTATTAAAACACCAAATCTTATTGTTATATATTTTAAGAGCAATATGTATAAACAAACATTGATCTCCTAAAACATTATCACAAACATCATGAAAACAATCATTAACAACTTGAGTTTTCCCTTTAACTTTGATCTTCTTTTCCTTGGTCTTTGTAGTTTTTTGAAGAGGAGTCTTTGTACATCTAACATTAAAGTTTTCGTGGCTTTCAAAAGTCTACAACTGACTTTTCTTTAATCCATCTTACTTCTGTGGGCTGATATTATCTTTTGGGCTTGGCCTGAAATGGGTTTGTCTCTTAATTGGGGCCCCTAAGAGTATTAATTTTGGTCCAACAATTTTTAATTCCAAAAAACCAATTAATCTAATCAAACATGTCGCAATCATTTGTTCATGTGACATATCCAATTTTCTTTATAAGAGGATTTATGATTATAAAAGAAAATCTTTGTTATTGGAATGAAGTTGATTTCTTTTTCTAATATGTCTTGCTTTGGCTCAATTATTAATTCTTGTGGTGCCAGAAGCACCGCTTATTAAAATCACGTAGTAACAAAATATCTACACAAAAGTGTTTTATCGATCACAGAGCATCTCCTCCTCTTTTTTATCATTTTTCCTTAGAATATGTTGCAATGTGTCTTTTTCAGCTTTTTAACCTTTCAATCGCCAATAGGAGGAGCTGATTATGGTCACTGTTTAAAGCGCAATACTACAAAGGCGTGTTCTCCTGTGAAGATAAAGAAAAAGTACTGCACAATGACAGATGACAATGCAACTCCACTGCTATAGAAAACTGCATTTTCTCGTCGTATTTGGCTTCAGCAATTTGATATTTGATAATCAATCAACTATAGTGGTTTGGGGAAAAAAAATTGAAAATCATGATAACGCCAGGAATCATTACCTCGTTTAGAGTGAAATTCTAAAACTGTAGTCAAATAATTCTTTCATTTCCCATTATTGCTGGTTAATATAATAGATTAAGATTGGTATTTGCAAGCCTGGGTATCTTTTATTGCACTGTCACATAAAACATTTGCAGTCTCAAATATTCAGTTAAAGAGCACATGATTAACAAGCATAACCCGTCAAGTGTTCTTGGAATAGATCCTCAATAAAAAGATCCAGGTATTGATTTTATTTGTGGGAATCACCCTTTTATACTAGCGAAAATTTGTACATAAATTACGGTACAACAAAGGGAGAGTAGAAAAGTTGTCAAGATGAAGCAGTAGTCTTGCATACAGGAAGGTCCTTCTCAAGATTGGGTGGGATCCGGAGAATAGGGTTACTCTCAAAGAAATTCACAGGCTTTAAATCAAAGCTTGAAGACACAGTTGGCATAATGGGAAAATCCTCCTGGCAGGGTACGTGATGGAATCCAAGTGTGTACCAGACCACAATGTCTTTATTCTCAATCGGTCGATCCCTACAAAATAAGGAAATTTTAGTCCACAAGTAGCCAAGTTTAAGAGCATGAGGATGTTTTTTTTACCTGTCAGACCATACTGCAAGAGTGTCTTCACCCTGGCTCTGGTAAACAAACAATCCACCAGCCCATTCCTCGCTTCGATTATATGGAGTGACCCATATTTGGTTATTTGTGAATGCGCCTCGCTTCTGGGGTGGATCTTCAAGATCAAGCAAGCTAGCCGCGGTGCCACCAGGAACAACCTTATACCCAACCGGGTTACCCACCCGTGTCTTTTTAGTTGGATTTATCACATGGAACTCAGCTGGATCATATAGTTTAAGTTTAATTTGTGCATCTTTCTCAGTTTTAGCAACATTTCTTGTAGCCTTTAAATAACTGGCCCTCGGTGACTTTCCAGGGGCCGTGTCTTGCCTCTGAATATTTACCTTTACAAATGAATTATCAGACTCATCAATGTCCATGTCGAGGTAAAATGTGATATAGTGGTCATGGATTACACCGATAACATTTTCAGACAAAAGGGTGCCAAAGAGATTTTCTTGCTCGCTCACTTGGTTCATGTTCTCATAGGGAGTGCCTTTCACCATCAAAATCCCACTTAGTCCAACCTGTCATTTAGTATCCGAAAGTCCAATTCTCCCATTAAATCAAAGCTAAAGTTGATAAAGAATGGCCATGATGGACAATTTCAAACGAATCAATCACTTACCTTAATTCTGATTAGTCCGTCTGTTTGGAACTCCCAATCAACAATATAATCATAGTTTGCGACTGATGCTGCCATTCTAACCACTAATGTCACCTTTGGCCTTACTTCTCTAATCTGCAAAAGGAAACAAACAAATATCAACTCATGATCTTGAAACCTGCATAAAATCTACAGTTTTATTTTACCTTTATATATATATATAATTTCCGTAAAACTTCATTTGGAGGTGTGTTAGAACTTAGAAACAAATTTAAAAGGTTTATTTCTTTTTCCTTTTGTGAAATCGTTTATTATTAAATTCATCCATTTTATTCCAAGAGCATTAAAACACTCATATAATTATCAAAAACCCCTTCAAATACTTTCTGAATGAAGTGTACGAGCTTAATACTAAACGAAATAAAACCATTTTCAAAATAATAAGATATTTTTATACTTTAAAAATTGAAAAACAAAAAAAAAAAAAAAAAAATACTATATGCGGCAAGGATTAAACACCTTACCTCCATACCCGTGATGGGACTCTCAGAGTGGCGCCATCCAATATCACCGGCGTACCTCTCAAACACGCAAACCATGTTTGATCGCACGTACGGGGTGCCATCAGCTGCCGCAAACACACCATCCATATAATAGGCGTTCCGTGGACAATCATTAAGCGGGTCAAGCGGCATGGACTGTAACCCGAACCCGTATTCACCCGCATCCATATACGTCTTAAAATACCATGCGTCTGTGGGATCCATGTACGGCACAAACAATTCACTAGAAAACCCTTTGTACATCACGTTCCTCACTTCCCCTGTATTCGGGTCCTTTACCCGAGCCCGAGAAACAATAACTCCAGCTCTCGCGTCGGGTTTCAAATGAAATTCCCAGTTTGCCCATTTAACCATATGTTCATCTTCGATAACAAAACTTGGACCTTTTGGTTGCTCTATTGATATTGGGTTTATCAAATTCATTTGCTTATGTAACTCCTGGGCAGAAAATCTATAATCTGTGTTGGCGGCCTTTGGTATTGGAATGGTCCTCCCCTTATCTGAAATTTCCACCACTTGCTTTGTGTCCATGTCAAGAAGCACAGTCAAACCTTCAATCGGTCGCATGTAAAAATTTGCGGTGTCCTTCATCGAGTAACACTGTACCTTAATCAACCTCCTGTTCTCCTCTGCTTTTCCGAACCAACCTAACGATATCGGAAGACAAGCCAAGTCCTTCAGATCAACACCACGTTCAAGGATCGTGCGGTTAAACGTGGCGTTCGCGAGAGGAGCCCATGTCGATGACGTCATGTCTTCAACTGTCATGGTGGGATAACCGGAGAGGGGAACTCTGCTGTGCAGACTAACCTGTTCAGTAGATAAGTCGACTGTTAACACGTATGATTTGTTGTTGACACGTGCAATCACCGAGGCTTTTCTTGGTAATAGTGAGTCACCTCGTTTCCAGTTGAGGACAAGTGGTTTGTCAGGTTCTTCCAAGGAGACGGAGTGGAAAGCGTAGGGGGAGGAGAACTTGAAAAGGGGGTGGGAGGAGAGGATCGTACGGACGTGGTTGATTTCTTGGATGGTGAGGGGGTCAAGAGGGTGCTGAGGGGTGTGAGAGGCAAGGTGGCGGGTGGGTTTAGTGAGTTGTTTGAGGGGATTGATGATTTTTTTTGGTTGGAAACGATTCTTGGAGGTGCACCATGAAGAAAAAGAATTGCAGTCGAAAATCTCAGTGGCGTTGGGTGGGGCGTAAGGGAGGTTGATCCATGTGATGACTAAAAGAGTGACTATGCCGAGGAAGAGAAGGAGGAAGCGAACAAAGTGTCTTGATTCCATGGAAAGGGTTGAAGTGAAGTTCAGTTAGTGAGCAAAAAGAAGAATGGGAACGGAGATGTATATAAGACTTAGAAAATTCCAAACTAAATGGGGGAGAGAGATGCAAAGAATCTTGATAAGTATTGTTGTGCAGATCTTTTCGGACGATCGGATGCATGCCACATGTCCTTACACCATGTCCGGATCTACGATGGAGTTCACCCCATGTGTTGCCCCACAAAACAGCTTCATTAACAAACTCATAGTATTAAGCATGAATACTGTACAAGCTTAGGTGTTGGGATGCTTGATTTAGATTCAAATGACGGAGATTATGCTTATAATCCACCCCGTAGTAACCACTATCAAAAGAAGTATATAAAAGAGAAACACCATCTCCTTTTTGGGTGATTAAGAGTATAATCTATCTCGTAACAATCACTATCAAAAGAAGTGTATGAAAGAGAAGCATCATCTCCTTTTTAGGTGATTGAGGATTTACATGAAACTATTTAGAGAGAGTTTAATCTCATATTTACGTGTTTTTCCCTATGGTTGGTTCCAAGAGGGAGGCATGACAATTTTTGTTCCCATAATATGGGGAATAATGATCCTAAAGGAACAAGGTAAAGCACATCATATAGCCCATGTTTGTTTCACTCTTTTGAATCATTTTTCTATTATTCTATTTGAATAAAAAAACAGAATATGTGTTTATTTAATTATTTGGATCATTATTTTGAAAATTAAATTGAATCAAATAAGATTTTTTCTTATTGAAAATGAAAAGAAGGGGGACTTGTTTTCTATTCTCTCATTTTATTCAACTCAAAACATTTTTCCAACTCTAATCAACTAAAAACAATTACCTTTCACTTTTTTCAAACTCCACCACCGATCGTTTGCGTTGGAACGATGCACGATTAGTCGGATCTAGCCGGTCGTGAGTCGATCTGGTCATTTCCAACCAAATCTACGGCCGGATTTTAGCTGTTAACAACAACTAGATTATGGTCGTAGATTTAGTCGGAAAATGCCAAATCAACACACGACCAGTCAGATCCAATAAGTCATGCTCTATTTCGATGATTGTCGGCTACCATTCAACAGTGGTAGCTGGCAATCAACAGTGTTTTGGGTGGATGGGGGTGTTTTTGTTAATTTTTAAACTTTTATTTGGGGGACGCTTACCTAAATTAACAAATGTTGGGGGTTAAAAATAATCTAAATATTTTTAGAAAATGATTTTAAAAAATATACCAAACAACTTTTTAACATTTTATCAAACTCTGATATAATTTTCAGATATTATACCAAATACATTCTCAAAATTTATCTTATTTGATTTAATCTAACTCAACCCAACTTAAAATAGTTTTTAGAATATCATTTTTCAAATATTCTAACAAATGGCATAGATGTGGTAAAATTATGGTGCAAAATAGGACTAATTAATAGAAGTGTAAAAATGAGTTAACCATCCAGAAAAACTTATGTGGTATATTTATATCCTTCGAGATTGATATGTCCAGAGGTTACCAAACTTTTTTCTCTGTGTACGCTTAGCATCTATTCAATACTCTATTATTGCTTTAATGTAATCGGTTAATACGGTCGATGATTGATAAATCTTAAAGAGCAATGTTACAATTATTAAAGAATGCACATCAAATTTATGCATTTAATGACATGGTGGCATCATATTTTCTTTAAAAAAAAATTATAATTAATCGATAATTATAATAATGTCACGTTATTCGTTGTATAAATTTGATGTGCATCCTTATTATTTTCCAATCTTAAATGGATAGATTTAAGAAAAAAAAAAGTACTAAAATCCAATATACTTTATATAATTTTTGTGCTGTGCGTGGGGAATGGTGAAATATTCGAATCTTGGACTCTTGGTCCAGATTGGAGGTCAGGACAAAGATTCTAAGTGGGTCTTCACGGGTCCGCCCTTTTTTGGTTAAAAAACAATGAACTGTGGTACAACCATACACACGAATTGCGAAAATATTAGTTAAACTCTAGTTATAAATTCCTTAGCAATAACAAGATTACAAAATCACCATCTAAGGGAATGAAAAACGTTAAAAGGAGGTAAAAAGAAAAAAAAAATATCACTCTTCTCGATGAGAGAAGCCATGTGTGTGTGTATATATATATATATGTGAAACAAATATGAATGGAAAAGCTTGTTTGTATGTTGGAGTTCAAAAGATTTTAAAGCCTTATAATCATCAAATCATATAAATTTCATAGGAGTTACAAATTTTAAAATATAAATAAATTTGTAATAAGTCACAAAAAATAACAATAATTATACGGGTTAGTAAAATTTAAGCTGGACTATTAAATTATAAAAGTGGCTGTTATAAAAATATCTATATGGGTTAGTCTCACTCAAAATACATAATACATACAAGCTTATAAAAAAAAAAAAAAAACTCCTATCAATTCTTACAACTTTGATGTTATGAGACTTGGTGATTAACTTCCGGTGGTTGTGCTCATCGAGAAGAGTGGTTGGGAGCTTTTGAGTTGTATATGTTGAGGTTAGGAATATTTACGGAATCGTCAGATTGCTCGGATTTTAAAAATTTTCTCCCCATAATGTCATTATGATCGTGTTAATGACGTTTTAATACAAATAACACCTGCATGTATATATGTATCAACAATAAATCCAAATATCATATATGAATATAAATAACATAAATAATACAGAATGAGTAAGTAATTAAAAGGTTATTGACTCCTTTGCTATATCTTTCTCCTTGTTGAATCCTCTCCAAGTACCCCAAGTGTGTGGTACCTCTAGATCGATACACACAAAATCTCACACTGATGGAAATTATCCCACTACAATAGAATCAAGAACAACTTCTTCCTTGGGATGGTAGAGAATATTGAAGGCTAGGGTTTTTCTTATATTTTTGTATAGTGTATATTTTGAACTCTCTTAAAAATAATGAACCCTAAGCCTCCTTTAAATAGCCACTCAATATTAGATTAGTGGGCTATCCCTAAAATATCTTATTCTAGTTTAAATTATTCTCTTTGGATTAACTAATAACTAAACGTAGGCCCATTTGATTGCTACCCCAATTTGGATCCAAGTTTAATTATTAAACCCATTTATAAAGTCTCCTTATTTGGACTTAATTTTTTAATTAATTAATCAACAATTAATTTATCCAATTTCAAAAATACCCTTTTAACCAATTCTACTAATTAGTCAATTAGGACTTTCGAAAACTTTAATATCCTCATTAACTCTTTAATGAGAAAATCTTGGATTCCCATCAAGCTTAGAAATTCATGATGTATGTGACCTTTTTAGGTTCATTTATCAATTGGTAGTAAGGTAAATATCATCCTTAACAGAAAAATTTGATAGATTTTCTTGACTGTTCTCAAAACTATCAAGAATTTTAATTATTGACAGTTTCTGAACTGTTAAGAATTTGAAATATTTCTTAACTATTTTGGATGATTCTTGACAGTTATTAACCATCAACAATTTGGTAAAAAATAAATTTTACGAATTTTGTTCTTGACAGTTGTAGTCTCAATCCTTGACAGTTTTTAATTGTCAAGGATTAAGTTTAAAAAACAAAAATAAAAGAACCCTAAAACATTTGCTCACCCAGTATTTCACTAAGGCAAAAGTTTTCCACCCATTTTTCATTAAGGCAAAAGTTTTCCACCTATTTTTCATTCTTTCTACCTTAAATCATTTTCCACTTTTAGTTCTCCATATCTCGTTGAGCTTTTCTCTTCAATTCTTCATTCTCACCTTAAATTCTTCTCCTATCTTCTTCGTTCTCCACATATCAATTGCTAATAATATGTAATTTGATGATTATATGTTTTTTTTTTTCTATTTGATTCTTGAGAAAAGAAGGGAGTAAAGCTACAGAACATAGAAAAATTGAAACTTTGAGGTATTGTTTGAAAAGATTAGAAAATTTGATCCCTTCACTCTTTGGGTTTAGAGGCTACATTTGGGAGTTTGTGTGTTTATATGATATGTTCTGTTTGATTCTTGAGAAATTGAGGGGAAAAGGCTAGAAAATGTAGAAAACGTGAAACTAGTGTCCTAATGTTGTTATTTCCGATGTAATTCATTTTTTTATGTTTGATTCCTTGAAGAAATTTAGATGCAAGAGCTTTGAAATACTGTATGAAAAGAGGTGAGAAGGGTAAAATTTATGATTTGGGATATATTGTATTTATGATATGTAATAATCATGCTATTCTCTTAGATTTGCTTGCATTAATTCACCTCAAATTGTTGCCAAAGTTGCTCATCTATGGTTTTCTTAATTATTTTACTCACTACTTGCTTTGTTATCTAATTATTGTTAACCACATATATTGGATAAATGACACTGTTAGAGGCTAGGAAATATGATGAGTTATGATCGACACCTCTCAAACATGTGTACACTGTTTACCTTCAATCCTTTCAAAAGTTGCTCCTTCAAGAGGGAGAAAAGATGGTCCTTGTATGGTTCGATACACCATATAATCAGGCTGTATATGGACTTGTAGATAAATTAGGCAAGTGGAAAGTCCAAACATTCTTGCATTATAGAATTACCGTGAATAACCTTGCTATCAGGATAGACTGTTTACTTGAAACAAGTGCTACTGATTTTTATCTTTTTCTACTTTAGTTAAGAAAATGTAATCATTATTGCATATGTATTAATCTTAAGAGAATTTTTAGTGGTATGTTTTGTTGTAATCCAGGGAGCTTAGTATTAGTTGTTGTCTGGGGTTTTATGTAGCGGAAATTAAAAGATCCCCAACAACAACCATAAGCCCTAGATCCTTATACACAATTTTTTACGTTATTAGCATATAAACCGACATTAAATAAAAACATTCCAGGTTTCTACTACAAGAAAACTGGCATTATGCGTCTAGCAAAATTAGACGTAGAAAGTCACATTTAGACGTTAACCCATTTTTAGTATCTAAATTTGGTAGTCGCCCCTTAGTTGCAGTAGACTGATCNTATGAAACATTTGTTTCCGGATTTATTTTCTCAGTTGAATAATTTTGATTTTCAATGTGAAACTTGCATATT